CCAATTTTGCAACAAAGTAGGAAAATAAATCCTTCACATCCTCAGAATGGCATTCAGAACTCTCAGCGAAGCAAGAAGCTCTCACCCCACATATTCAAATGTTATCCTTGAATATTATGTTTTTGCAAGAATTAATTATGTTGCTGTTTAAACATCTCTACAGACTCTGATAAAACCACCACTTCAGACAGAGAATTCCACATCCTTATTGTTCTGACTATAAAGAACCATTTTCTTCATATAACTTTGTTATAACCAGATCCAGACAAACATAGTTTATAGTTAATAGGTGTCACTTAGATTCAAAACCTATTCACCTAGATGAACTACTAGTCCTTCTATCCTAATTTATGAATGGGTATTTCAAATAATTAATGAGTTACCCAGATGTGCAGCTTTCCAAATTTGCCCTTCCTCACCAATTTCAACTTTAGGTGATTTATAACATATACCAACCAATAATAAACATACCACGTGACCTTTTATGTAACCATTTAAGTTTACTGTCCAGTCATATGTTTCAACCCATCATGCTTCTGTGATGCCTATTATGTCTTATTGCTTAGTGTTGCCGTCACAAAAAGGAGAGCAGACCCACCCATTACTGGCCAGTCAATCTGGTGTGAATACACAGCAGACTGCCAGCCAAAAATTTTAACTTGTCCACTGTGGGCTGAGCCTACAGGGAGACCTGTTCAAGTGTCTCTTATGATGGGCCCATGCAATCATTGTTGGAACAGTTCCATCGTGTTACCAAACGCAGGACACCAGGAAACAAAGATGGGATGACAGTCCCTATTTTCCAGTCCTGTCCTGTCCTGTCTCTCTGAAATCAGGACTATTCCAGAATAAGAAATGAATATCCAAGAACACACAGGCACGTCCGAAGATGCAGATTTTATTTAGAGTGAAACTGGCAACGCTTCAGCTAACAAGAGCCTTTCTCAAATTATGAGGCATATAATATTCATATTGTTGACCTACCTAATCAAGATCTAATTTTGTCTTGTCTTCTCATTTTCTCTTACCTTAACAAGTTTTATTATTACTACCACCTTATTGAAGTTGTATTTGTTCTCCATCCAATGAAACTTAGAATATTTCTGTATACCATATAGTAATCATTACTATGCTCTTTTCCATGTCAATGTTCAGATTTGCAAGTATTATCTGAAATCTAATTGCATTTTTTTTTCCTTTGTAGAATTGATAATACATAATGTATAGCTGATAATAAATGATACACTTACTATTTTACCCTAATTAATTGCTATTATGAGGAGTTTGTTAATACTATACATGTTAGACTTGTGCAAAAGTTTGTTTCAAATGGTTAATCCAAATCTAAACATGGATGAGTTGACTGTATGATATTTACCAGTGGAGTCTTCTTCATTAAATAAGACTCTACAAGTAAATCTCTGACAAATCAAATTTGTCTGGGTGTGGATTAAAAGGCATTTCATTCAGAAAAAGTGTCTGTAATAAACCTTTGCACACGTCTAACATGTGTGCATAAAGGATAAATTAACACAATGCTGTGTCAGGTTTGATATACTGCATTGGTGTGCATTTGCTCTGTGATGTGAAATTAATGCAATTATTTATTTCCAGACTTGAACTTTTTATTAACAAGAAAAATGTGTTTCTTTCAATGGGAGAAGGAGCAAAATTTGTCATTATTTTGCATAAAGTTTGGAAAAACCACCCTTTTAATAGGGATTTCCTGGGATTTTATACTTTAGACAACCACAAATTCTCAACAAGCGTTCATGGACTGCTGGGTAAGAGTCACATCAACACTTACTAGGCTTTAGGGTAATCACTATGAGGGGAAGTGGGACTAAATATAATGAACCGGCAATGAAAAATCTTTGGCACTTCTAATAAAAACTGATGTTTTAATCTATCCAACTTGGATTGCAGTGTTGTACTGGTAAAATAAGTATATACACAAAAACATAATAGCTCTTACCAAATCCTTACATATTTCATGCTAATATACCTATTCACTGGTTTAATCCATGCATCAAGTCTAGCTGATTAAATGGGGAAATCCCCTTAACTAATTATGTGGAAAGTCAACATAAACCTTTAAAGGAACAGTCCAAACACATAACGCACTCCCAGCGCTAAACATTTTGGAGAATGTAAAGGGTTTAGGCAACCTTTGGCCTTTCCAGATGTGGATTACATCTCCCTTGATGCCTTTTCAGAATTATGGCGATGTACATTAGGAGATGTATTCCACAACATCTAGAGTGCTGAAGATCGCCTACCCCTGAGTTACTTTGTCTGTGTATAGAATGAATCCAGATTCCACTTCAAAATAGTGGAGAAGACACTGTATGTCATTACGGGGTTACCGATACTGTTGGTTTTCTGATTTTTGACTTTGTTTTAGGTCTGACTTCTCTGTTCTCCATTACCTTTAATCTTACATAGTTGCATAGCTGAAAAGAGACTTGCATCCATCAAGTTCAGCCTTCCTCACATATGTTTTTGCTGTTGATCCAAAAGAAGGCAAAAAACCCAGTCTGAAGTGCTTCCAATTTTGCAACAAACTAGGAAGAAATTCCTTCTTGACCCCAAAATAGCAGTTAGATGTCTCCTTGGATCAAGCAGCTATTACCCCACTAATTAGAAATTATATCCCTGTATGTTATGTTTTTGCAAGTATTTATCCAATTGCAGTCTAAACATCTGTATAAACTGACAAAACCACCTCTTCAGGCAGAGAATTCCATATCCTTATTGCTCTTACTGTAAAAAAAACCTTTTCTTTGCCTTAGATTGAATCTCCTTTCTTCCAGCCTAAATGTGTGACCTTGTGTCCTATGTATAGCCCTGTTTATGAATAGATTTGGATTGTACTGGCCCCGAATATATTTGTATAATGTTATCATATCCCCTCTCAGGTGCCGTTTTTCCAAACTAAACTAAAGAGATTTAAATGTTTTAACCTTTCTTTAATATTGTCTTGCTATAGTGACATTCTGTACTTCTTAATCCTGTCCCTATTAACTCTATACATACTCTCAGGTTGTGTCACTAAAACGATCTGCGTTAAGTCCAGCTGTTCTAAATAGTCTATAAAGTCTGTATGTCATGGTTATAAATATTCCAGACACTAAATATCTATTACGTAACATAAGTAATCATTTTGAGATATCTATTACACAAGTGTATTTATCATCCAGTACAAACACCAGATATTCTAACAGTATGGTCCTGTCAGTGCATCCACTGTTGCTCCTGTTAGAGCTTTTGGTATAATGAAAGGGATTTGAGCAAATGTTCCTCTTAAAAAGGACAAACTAAAACAATTAAAGGACAAATCGTTCTCCCGAGTGCTAAAAAACAAACAAACTTCCAGTGCCAAACTGCAACCAAATTGACTATTTCTAGGACGGCAGTACAGTACAACACACCCTAAAGATAGTTCTGAAATCCAATCATTTTCATCCAAAGCAAGAACAGGTGTACCTAAAATGATCACATTAGATTAGAAGACTAGTATATAAAGCGAACATCATTACAGAATAGAATAACATATGCATATAATTCAAGGCCAGCTGAACTAGTAACAATATACCAGCAAGCAAACGCACAAAATCAAAAGACAACTGATAAAACAAGGTCTTCGTGGTAGAGTTTCAGGTAGAAATCATATTGGTCAGACATAGAAGAGAAACTGGATAGAGTTGTTATTACAGGGATCTCAAACTCTGGCCTCCTCCCAGACGTTGATGGCCTATAATTCTATAATTATCTAAATGTAATAGATGGTCAGAGAATCAGCAGCATCTGTAGGACCATAGTTTGAGATACTTGATATATAGGGAGTTGATACATAATACACATCCTGATGATGTCTAGAACAGATGTATTAGTGTAAACCATATATATGCATGGATTATGGTTGATATTGGAGGTTTTCTGTACACTCTGCAAGAGACTATGCATAGCAGAATGGACCCAACCAGTGATTGACAACTAGCAGTGAATATCATGCCATATCCTGTTTCCACCCTCGCACATCTGTCTACTTTTCCTTCAGGTTTAAACTGTTGAATTCATGATCTTTTTTTTTTTTTATCAATTATTTTAAAGGACAATTTTTCCATGGAATTGACTTTGAGATTTCAAACGTGCATAATTCTTCTGACCCAGCAAAACCTGATGCTTCTATGTTCGTGAAAAATAGACTGTTGACAGTGACCAGGTATGAAAATGAAATGGATCATGAATTGTAAAAAAAAAAAAAAAAAAAAAATTCAGAAACTTAAATGATGGCCTTATGTAACTAAGTAGTATTATTTAAAACAGAAAATAAGCACCGAACCATTAACAGTAACCTAACCGACATATCTAAGTTAAAGGATAACTCCAGAACCCTAAACAGCTTTAGCTTGCTGAAAAGCTGTGTGAATGTAAGTGTGTCCTCTTTTTTTTTTAGTTTGCAAAAAGTGCAGATTTCAATAGAAATTGACACTTTCATAAATTATCTTGGTTACACCCCCTTGGCTTTCAAGCAGGTAATGTTAATTCCTGGTTTCATTGGCCCACAGCTTCTGACTTACAAAGACTTTTTATTGAACTCTGATTGGACAGCCACAGAAAGTCTGGGCAGGGTTAGCATGGGACAGCTTGCAAAGGCAGCAGACAAGATAACTGCAGGTTTTACAATCTTTATAATTTGCTGCTGCATGGAATGCGGTCTGCCCAGAGTTTCAGCCCTAGGTTTCCCATTGTTTTTAGGGGTTAGTAAGGCATTAAGTGGATTAGAGTTAAAACGATTTAGAGTTAGGGGCTCTTGCCTACAGGATGTTGAGGACTGTAAATCCTATCACTCTGAGACAGGCTTTACCTAAATTCATCCTAACTCTAGACACCTGTAACATATTGCATTTAGTACCCCTAACCTACATCACTGGGGACATTGTGTTACCATCATAGGCGTGCGCAGCCTATTGCATTAGGTTGTGCACTCTAAAGCACAAACACACGCCGCGTGTATATGTGTGTGTGTGTGTGTATATATATATATATATATATACATATATATATATATATATATGTATATATATATATATATATATACACACACACATACATACACCTCTGTGTGTGTGTGTGTGTGTGCTGCATGAGGGTGGTTTGAGGGTGTTGTGTGTGTGTGTAAGGGTGCTGTGTGTGAGGGTCCTGTTAGTGTGCTGTGTGTGTGCGCTGTATGTGTGTGCTATGTGCGGTGTATGTGTGTGTGGGTGCTGTATGTGTATGCTGTGTGTATGTGTGAAGGTGCTGTATGTGTGTGCGCTGGATGTGTGTGAGGGTGCTGTATGTGTGTGGGTGCTGTGTGTGCTGTATGTGTGTGGGTGATTGTGGGGGTGGAGGTGGGGGTACATTACTTAATATCCTCCCTCCCTTCTTATCTTATGTAGGGAGGGGGGATTCTTGTTTGTGCTGCTTTCCCTGGAGGTCCTTGTTCGTGCTGCTTTCCATGGTGGTCCAGTGGAGAGTGAACTCTAGCCCCTGCACTCTCTACATGAGCCAACATCAGGATCTCCCCTGCCGGTCTCACTCCATAGGCGTGCCGCAGGGATTAGGGTGTGCCCAGGCACACCCGGCACACCCCGTGCGCACGCCTATGGTTACCATGTTATTAGAGTACCAGGTACTGCAGTAAACCCAGCTCTGTAATGATTCTCAACAATACTGCCTCCAGTCTTTCTAATGTAGAAGCGTAATATCCGGACTAATGAGGGTGACCTTTTTCAAGCGGATATTTACAAACTGACATTATTTAAATTAATTCATTGTTTGTGTTAATATTTCCCTTTGATTATTTTTTTTTAAATTTATTTTAGGGGTTCACAGAAAGATTACATGAAGGACGCAATAAATGGCAGTAAGGTGCCATGTTGGTTCGTTCATTATAATGGACAAGGCTTGATTGATGGAAATCACACGGACTACATCGTACCTAGCCTGTTTAGCATGGGATAAGATCTCACAGGCCAATACATGATACAGATACCAAATTATAATCATCACAATGTTTCTTTCACATTCATCATCTTGATTTATATGAAAATATATATTTTTTGCCAGTAATACCTAGAGAGCATCAGAGAATTTGTAACAAATATATATGAAATGGTTTAGTAAAGTTTAGAGCTGTAAGTCATGTGCTAAATAAAGTAATACATTTTAATTAAATTTCATTAAAAAAAAAATAGCTGAACAAATAAAATACAAAGGCTGATACTGCTTGTGTAATTTTCTTTTCTATGCTTTTAGACCTCAGCTGCATATAAAACATTCAAAAAGATGCATTTAAATTAACAAAATAAAGATTCCCTGAAAGGGTTAATATATCAGCGCTTCTAAGTGCTGCTACAAAGTGTGTGATTGGAAATATTCTGGAGAGGTTGACAGAATCTTCAACTGTCTAAGATTTTGCTAGGAAGCTATTTTGCTAAGATTTTGCTAAGAGTTAGGAAAAAGGACAAATGAGTAATTTGTTACATGTGAGTTTACAGAGGAAGAGGTTCTATTTCAGCTATCAAAAGTAAAGACAAAAGAGTCAATGGGACCTGATGGAATCCACCCAAAGTTAAGAGAGCTTAGTGGTGTACTAGCAAAACCATTAACAGATTTATTTAACCAATCATTGTTAACAGGAGTATTCCCAGACGATTGGAAGTTGGCAAATGTTGTGCCCATTCACAAGAAAGGTAGTAGGAAGACGTCGGGCAACTATAGGCCAGTAAGCCTTACTTCAGTAGTGGGGAAGGAATTGTTTACTGGGAGCAGGGTACATTTTCCTGTTAGATTGGGTAGAGGAAATAGAAGATCCTCTACCATGGTCTGGAAACACAGAGGGTATGGTGGAAAGAGACACACAGAGGAGCTGGGGAAGGGAAGTGAGACAAAATGGCAAAGGGAGACACACAAAGGAGCTGAGGGGAGTAAGAAACACTAAAGGGTGGCGTAAGACGCAAAACAGGGAATAAAGTACACTTAACCCCTTAAGGACACATGACATGTGTAAAATGTCATGATTCCTTTTTATTCCAGAAGTTTGGTCCTTAAGGGGTTAAAGGACCACTCTAGGCACCCAGACCACTTCAGCTTGAAGTGGTCTGGGTGCCAGGTCCCTTTAGGATTAATCCATTTTTTTATAAACATAGCAGTTTCAGAGAAACTGCTATGTTTACAAATGGGTTAATCCTTCCTCCAATTCCTCTAGCGGCTGTCTCATTGACAGCCGCTAGAGGCGCTTGCGTGATTCTCACTGTGAAAATCACAGTGAGAGCATGCAAGCGTCCATAGGAAAGCATTGTAAATGCTTTCCTATGCGACCGGCTGAATACGCGCGCAGCTCTTGCCGCGCGTGCGCATTCAGCCGAATGGGAGGAACGGAGGAGGATCGGAGGAGGAGAACTCCCCGCCCAGCGCTGGAAAAAGGTAAGTTTTTACCCCTTTTCTCTCCCCAGAGCCGGGCGGGAGGGGGACCCTGAGGGTGGGGGCACCCTCAGGGCACTATAGTGGTATGTTTTCCTGGCACTATAGTGGTCCTTTAAGAGGGAAAGACATTAAAAAGGGATAAGAAACACAAAAGAGGATTTAAGAGACAAGTAATTTTTTTGTGGGGGCGGGGCAGCAAAATTTGTCTTCACATTGCCAAAAATCCTTGCACCTGCCCCTTGTTTAGTAGATAGCTCCATAACTGGATTTACTTAAAAAAGCAACCCCCCATAAGGGTACCAAATTAAACAGCTGAAAGGCCAGAATTAATGAAACGGCTGTGATGTCTCAGTTATTTAGAAGATAGTTCCCTTGTGATGGATGGCCGGAACCCCTGATATGTTTTGCACAAGTTTGCAGTGCCATTTTATGACTGTTTTCAATGTAATTAGGCATCAATGTATTGAGTACCTGTATTATACATGGAGCAGAATGTGTGTCTCTATATGCAGCTGTGGGCAGAAGCAGACTAGAAACCACGGGGCCCCAGTGCGAAAATTTCCCTGGGCCCCCCCTGTACGTCAACCCCTCCCACCACCCTCCTTCCATCAAGTCTTTTGTCCCCCTCCCATACGTTAACCCCTCTTCCCACACATGTAGACACACACACACCTTTACTTGGGGTCCAGTGGTGGCTCAGGCTAATGGGAGTCAGAGTTCCCACTTGTCACGTATTCATCCGCTTATAGAAATGTGGTTAATGACATTTACTGTCCACACAGGAAAAGTTGTGCCGAGCAGCAACCTAATCCACAGAAGGGTTAATGCTGAGCAGTAATTGTGCAAATGAAACCTGGTGTCAGGTATTCATCCACTTATAGAAAAGTGGTTAATGACATTTACTGTCCACACAGGAAAAGTTGTGCCGAGCAGCAACCTAGTCCACAGAAGAGTTAATGCTGAGCAGCAATTATGTAAATGAAACCTCCTAGCAACTCCTTATCACCATCCCTACAGTTTGATGGCAATATCCAGGAATGCAGGGGTTTTCTTAATCAGGTGGAGTACCATATTGAGGCCTCACCAGGGTCATTCCCCACGGACAGAGCAAGAATTGGTTATCTAATGAATCAATTAAAGTGCAAGGCCCTTGCCTGGGCTAATCCGTTGTGGGAGAGTAATCGGAGCATAGCTCATAATTACCAGGAATTCCTTGCCGAATTCAAGCTCACGTTTGAGCCATTGGGTAGAGAGGATGACGGTATCTCGGATTATGCTATTGAATTCCGTACCTTAGCTTCCGAGGTAGACTGGACTAACAATGGGTTAATCTCAGCATTCAAAAAGGGTCTCTCAGAGACTATACTAGATGAGATAGCCGCTAAAGAATTACCTAAGAGTCTTAACGAATTTATTACGTTTGTCATGCATATTGATAATAGGTTAAGACTCAGAGAAGTCACCAGAAGCAAGACCAGACGTACGGCTATGTCCCTAGCACCTCAATTCTCTAAACCTGTTTTGTCTAACCTCCCTGTACAGTCCGAACCCGAACCTATGCAGTTGGGGGTCACTAGACTGTCAGAGGCCGAAAAACAGTATAGGAGAAGGGAGGGGTTATGCCTATATTGCGGTAGAAAGGGACATATGATAACTAATTGTCCAGTGCGTCCGGAAAACTTCCGCACCTAAGAACCTTAAGGGGACAGATCTTAGGTGTGATGGAGTTGTCCTCTAACAAAAACAAAAGTAGATTCCTCCTTGAGGTATCTATTTCCCTTGATAACAAGAAGTTTTCTTGCAGTGCCCTAATGGACTCAGGTGCTGCTGGAAATTTTATTGATGTCCAGTTTATTAGGGGTAATGAGATACCGGTCAGGGAGTGACCTACGCCGCTAGCTGTAGAGGTTATTGATGGTAGATCACTCAAACAACCGCTTATAACCCACGAAACTGTCCCTATTACGATCTCCATTGGGGCCTCCCATAGGGAGGAGATGACGTTTCAGGTTATTACTTCTCCATCATGTCCTATCATATTAGGGTTTCCGTGGCTGAGTAAGCACAATCCCTATATTGACTGGGCTAATGGGGAGATATTAGAATGGGGTAAAGAGTGTATGGGGAGATGTATAAAACCAGTACTAAAGAGATTGGATACTACTGACCTTCCCACTACCACTCCCCAAACTCCTGGAGTTCCCATACAATACCGAGAACTTCAGGAGGTGTTTAACAAGGCTCAATCCGATGTATTGCCTCCCCACAGAGCATATGACTGTGCCATTAACCTGTTTCCAGGCGCTATGCCACCTATGGGGGCAGTTTATGCCTTATCTCCCCAGGAGAGTAAAATAATGGAGGAATACATCAAAGAATCCTTGAGCAAAGGGCACATAAGAAAGTCATCCTCACCAGCTGGTGCAGGATTCTTTTTTGTTGAGAAAAAGGGTGGTGAGTTACGCCCTTGCATAGACTACAGGGCACTTAATAAAATCACTGTAAAAAATGCATACCCTATCCCACTCATTTCCGAATTGTTCGATAGACTTCAGGGAGCTAAAGTATTTACTAAGCTTGACCTTAGGAGCGCTTACAATTTGGTTAGAATTAAAGAGAATCATGAGTGGAAGACGGCATTTAATACCCGTAGTGGACACTATGAATATCTGGTAATGCCATTTGGGTTATGCAACGCCCCGGCCGTATTCCAAGACTTTATAAATGATGTACTCAGGGAATTCATTTACTCATTTGTCTTGGTTTATTTGGACGATATTTTGGTGTATTCCCCTGATCTTCAAACTCACCACTCCCATGTGAAACAGGTTCTGCAGACGTTGTTGAAAAATAAACTTTATTGTAAATTAGAAAAGTGCATATTTGACCAGCCTGAAGTCCACTTTTTGGGTTACAACATCTCTGCATCGGGATTTCAAATGGATCCTAATAAACTAGAGGCTGTACTACACTGGCCATTACCCTCTGGTTTAAAAGCCATTCAAAGGTTTATTGGTTTTGCCAACTATTACAGAAGATTCATCAAGGGATTTTCTTTTGTAATAGCCCCTATCACAAATATGACTCGCAAAGGGGTTAGTAGCATGGTATGGTCCAAAGAGGCTGTGAATGCTTTTGACACTCTTAAACAAAGATTTGCCTCTGCGGACATACTAAAACATCCCGACACTAGTAAACCTTTTATATTGGAGGTTGATGCATCTGAGACAGGGGTAGGGGCTGTTCTCTCTCAGAAAGAAAGCCAGGGAACACCATTGCATCCTTGTGGCTACTTCTCCAGAAAGATGTCTCCTGCTGAGCGCAACTACGATATTGGCAGTAGAGAACTGTTGGCCATTCTTGCCCTCAAGGAGTGGCGACATCTTTTGGAGGGTTCCAAGGACCCCCTGTTGATCATAACCGACCACAAAAATCTGGCATATATAGGGGATGCCAAACGTTTGTCTTCCAGACAGGCTAGATGGTCACTGTTCCTTTCACGTTTTAACTTTCTCATTACTTATAGACCTGGTTCTAAAAATACCAAGGCTGATGCCTTGTCCAGGCAATTTGATAATGAGTCAGCTCTGGAACAGGTGACATCTCCTATTATGCCACCAGAGTGTATTATTGCTACTACTGTCCTCTCACTGTCTTCTCCACTGCTTGGCACCATACTGGAGGCCCAGCCTCAGGCGCCCAGTGGTAAACCGCGTGATAAACTGTTCGTTCCCCTATGTGAAAGGGTTAATATCATGAAAGTGTTCTATGACAATATAACTGCTTTATTGTTGAGCTTCCTAGCTCTGCTGGGTTCACTCCTATTCTCATGGTTGTAGACCGATTTTCTAAGATGGCTCACTTCATTCCTCTCAAGAAGTTGCCATCTTCGCAAGATTTGGTCCTAATTTTCATACGTGAAATTGTCCGTTTGCATGGCATCCCCCACAATATTGTGTCTGATAGGGGCTCTCAGTTTGTGTCCAGGTTCTGGAGGGCGTTCAGTTAACAATTGGGGATTGATCTCTCCTTCTCCTCCTCCTACCATCCACAGACCAATGGTACAGCTGAGAGGGCTAACCAGTCATTAGAAGTTTATTTGCGTTGTTTTATTAATAGCACACAAGACAATTGGTCCGAACTACTCCCGTGGGCCGAGTTCGCTAGAAACAATGCTGTTCATGACTCCTCTGGGCACAGTCCATTTTTTGTCAATAATGGTAGGCATCCTACGGTTCTCCCTGTGGTATTTTGATACTGCCATTCCTGCTCTGGATGAGCGTCTGGCCTCCATTCGGGATACCTGGGTTAAGGTTCAAACTGCTCTAGGGGCTGCTGCTGAACGCTTCAAACATTTTGCTGATAAGCGTAGGAGTGCCAACCTGGTGTACCAAGTGGGGGACCGGGTGTGGTTGTCATCTCGCAACATCAGGCTTAAGGTCCCTAGCATGAAGTTTGCCCCCAGATTCCTTGGTCCCTATAGAGTGCTTTGTAGGATCAATCCAGTGTCTTACTCTCTGGCTCTTCCTGCATCTTTAGGGATTCCCAACACTTCATGTGTCCTTACTCAAACCTCTTGTCTGCAATAGATATACTGTTCCTTGTGTTCCTCCCCCTCCGGTGGTGGTGGTGGGTGGTCAGGAAGAGTATGAGGTATCTTCTATCGTGGATTCTGGGTTTTCTTGGGGCACTTTACAGTACTTGGTTGTTTGGAAAGGTTACGGTCCTGCTGATCGTTCTTGGGTTTCGGCTCCTGACCTGCATGCGGGCCTTAAGATCCGCGCTTTTCACGCTAAATTTCCTCTCAAGCCTGGTCCTGTCCGCCCGGTGGGGGGGTAATGTCACGTATTCATCCGCTTATAGAAATGTGGTTAATGACATTTACTGTCCACACAGGAAAAGTTGTGCTGAGCAGCAACCTAATCCACAGAAGGGTTAATGCTGAGCAGCAATTATGTAAATGAAACCTGGTAACTGACTTTGGGGTCAAAGGCCGGTTAGAGCCTATCAGAACTAAAGGAGGGGTATTTAGGCCCAGTTCTCAGCCTGCTCAGTGTCCTGTCGTGGTTTCCCTTGTGGTTGTCCGAGAGCGCGTTCCTGTTTATAGTTTTCTACCTGGTTTTTGACTTTGGCTTTGTTTATTGACTTCTCTATATTCTGATATCCTGACTCCTGGCTTTCCTCATCGCTGTGTCCCTTTCTGTGTTCCCTGACCTCGGCTAGTATTTTTGACTATTCTTTGTACGTTAAATCCGGCCATTCTAAGGACTGGTAATACATTACTTATTTGTCATCCGTGCTGGATCAAACAGTAATCCTGACACCACTCTGACTACCTTTCTTTCCACCTGCACGGTTCCCGGTGGTTGCTAGGAGGAAGAGACTGGGGCAATCACTTCCTCCCAGCTGCTAACATCAGAGGGGGCCCAGTCGCGCTGAACGGGCCCCCTGGAATTACATAGCATCGGGTTTCCCTAGCAGCATGGGCCCCTTCAATGCGGCGGGCCGGGGCCGCATTACTCAGCTGGCGGGACCCATGTTCGCAGGAGTCCGCAGGGCGGCCAAGACCCCTGAAGTGACTGGCCCGGTCGCAGCTGAGACCCCTGCAACCGCGGTAGTTCCGCCACTGGCTGTGGGTCATGAGGAGGAGGGACATCAGCTTTCTATGCAGACATAAAATATACTCAGATGTGAAATGCATTTTGTATGTGATCAAGTTAAATGTTGTACTGTAAGTGACCAAGTCTACATGTTATGAACTACAGCAGAGGACTTTTTTAATGATTGCTCTGAAGGGACAGTCCAGATAACAATTTGTTAGAGAGGGCTTGCACTTGAGGAGGGGGATAATTATTCTAATTCATTACTTTGTAGTCAGTTAAGATTATGTCTGTTTTATTTGTCCTGTTCTGTATTCCCATTGGTGAAAATGTTTGTGCATTTCTTTTTGTAGGCTGGATCTTTATACAATAAACAGTCTTTGTAGTTTCCAAAAAAGTAGCTGGGTTGTCTCTTCCTCGAGGTCTCACAAGATATGGCTATTCATTGTCCTCTATAGAGTTATTACTAAGTTTTTTTTTTCCAGAGGACTAGATGGATAGAATTTTATAGTAACTAGATACCAACGCAGTATATCCTGCGTACACTACCAAAAATGAGTCCTAGCATTTACTTGAGCAGTTAGTGTGGCAGGTTATGTAAAAAGAAATCCACAGATGATAGCGTTGCCAGAGTTGTTGCGCCTTTGGTAAAAGATGCCAGGGCCATACTGTTACATTCCTAATTTGCTATCTTGTGTATATCTAAAACATTCTTTTTTATTTTATACACCCCCAGCACATACATCCTGTATAAACGCAGCACTTACAACCTGTATCCATATGCATGTATGCTTTAAGCTCGCTGTCTTAGTGTCATTTTTTTATCCCGGCCTCACCTTTGCGCCTCATGTCCAGTCTGCTGCTAAAACCTGTCAATTCTAGCTTAAACACATTGACCGCAAACACCCCTTTCTTACGCAAAATGCTTTTTCATGCTCGAGTAACTTCTCACATGGATTACTATAATTCTCTCTTATTTGGTCTCCACAGAAACCGAACTGCCCCCCTACATTGACAATAGGTCACCACCTTATTTGTCATTTTAGGGCCCCCACGAGTGGGTCTCCCCCCCCCCCCCCCCTTCAACCAGTAAGAGTCCCTGTGGGTTTTAAAATTCACCTGCACATTGAAGTCTATGGCGGTTCGCGAACATTTGCGGAAGTTCACGTACCGAAAATTTCATGTTCGCGACATCACTACTGGATACCTTACTGCAAATTCACGCCTGCAAGACATCTCACGGGCTGCTCCTTTCCTTTGGAACAGCCTGCCTACCCCTGTCAGACTCTCCCCTAGTCTTCAATCCTTTAAGAAGTCCCTCAATACCCATCTTTTTAGGATTGCTTATTGCCTCCAAGAGTAACTTCTATCTCTAAAAACTTTATCTTGCTCTCTCCTAAAGGGCCACACTCCACTCTCACCTCCAGTTCTGCTACTTTCCCACCATGTCTATTTGCTGTCTCTCTCGATACCCTTCCTATTGCGTGTCACGGATGCACCCTATTTCAAGAGGTGTGTGACGTAGTTGTGGTGGTGAAAGGGTTAACGTTCATTAGCTGTCTGCACTAGACTGGAAATAATGACAAAATCCCCATTACCACCACCCACACTTAAGTATAACTTATTATTTTAATGCTGTCACCACCAAGACAATTTATAAGTGGGGTGCCTTGGTCCCCCAGGTAAATCAATAATAAAAACCCACCAAATACAACTTAGCACACTATTTAAGGAATTGCAAAAATACAAATTAGTCTCTTTCACCAGACAAAGGCAAAACGTAATAAAGGAATATTTATTATGAGCAAAAAGAATAGCCACAGTGCATACAAAAAAATAGATGACCAAAAAAAATAAAAAAAGAATTTACACCAACATATAAAAATGAAAGGGATAAAACATAAGTCCCAGTCACTTAACTTTTCAAAGTAACACTTCTGCACCAGGGGTACTCTGGTAGGAAAGATGGTTTCTCACTTAGAATTAGACTCTGGCCCCAAGCAAGTACACCAACACCCCTCCAAATCATTGGATAAATACCCTGTGGATTATCATGTCTTGCCCAGGGATGGAGTTAGGGCGTACCTATAGAAATAATGAGTGACCATCTCCTATGTTCCAGACCAACCTACATCCAAATGGAACCATTTGGCTCCATCTTCTCTTATATAATTGCCACAGAAATAATTGCATCTATGAATTTGGTATTTTTCCATTCCATAGATATGTCACGTGCCCTGCTCGTGACCCAATATAACAGACATCAGTCTCTTCGCATGTGGTTACGTTATGGGCTGGTTTAGAAGATGGTGTTTGACCCATTCTAAATATAATAAAATGAGGCTTTATTATTCTGTAGGTACATATTAATGTTTCTTTGGGATATGATACTTTAACACAAGGCTAATAATCATTAACATATCAGAAATTCCCTCATCAATGAAAAGGTGCAGGCCAAATGGCTGAAGCCGGACATCAGGCTTTCCAAGCATAGAATCTCCAAGTTGCAGGGCCTGGATTAATTCACATCCATATAGTAAAATCCTTTATACATTCCTATGCCATTCACACTACCCCTTCTGTCATCTGACCTCTGTGGGGGTCCCAGTTTCAAAAGACAGTAGTGTAATAATAAATTATGCACCCTTGTCGTGACTTTGTGTTTATATACCCCACCTCCTCTAGACTGTATTGTTTAATTTGGTAAATTCCCCCCTTATTGTAAAGCGCTGTGGAAAAAGCTATATAAATACTACTACTACTACTACTACTACACATTCTGGGCACATGTAGCATATTCATTATATATAAATACATACATTTGTGCTCTAAAGTTTGCATACCCTTGAGTGAGCAGACAAAACACATTTTATTTATTTCTTATGGGATTCATATTCAACTGTAGGTTATAACAAAACGGCACAATCAAAAAAAAACATGGCAACAAAGAAAATAAATGATATAATCGCATGAAAAAAATATATATATTTATATCCTTAGGTGCAAAACCTCATAAGGCATTCCCTCAAATGCCCCCCCAAAAATATATATACATACACACACACACATACATATATACATACACACACACACACAAGATATGGATGCACACTAGTATACAAGCAAGTAAAATTTGCTTATAAATCCTTTATTAAATACACAAAAAAAAGATACAATAACATACAATAAATAAGGCGACCAAAAAAAAAAAAGCACATGTAAACCCTCAATGTTTCGGCACCACTCCTGCTGCCTTTATCAAGGGTGTCTGTGATGTTGGGGGATTGGTGACTCATGTTCTGTCCCATTAGGCTTGTTTACTGGTGGTTATTATATTTGTAGATGTGCCTTTTTTGGTTGCCTTATTGTATGTTTTTTATCTTTTTTTGGTGTATCTAATAAAGGATTTATAAGCAAATTTTACTTGCTAGTACCTTGGTGAAAAAAAATAAATAAATGAAATGACTCATGTTCAAAAGTCTGCATATGTCAGGATTATACTGATCCAGCATGCAGAGTAGTGTGACACCCTAGAATTAAGGGTAACGTCTAACCAGGCCTTAGAATGGCCAGACTTAATGGGCCCGAGAATAGAGAGAAAACTAGGTCAGGGACACAGAACAAGACGCTGCGATAAGGAAAAGCCAAAAGTCAAGGGTACCAGAAATGAGGGAAGTCAAAATGAAGCAAAAAGGCAAAAAACAAACACCCCCTTGGATAACCATCAAAGGGAAACCACAACAGGGCAATGAGCTAAAGGAATGATTTAGTTTAAATAACCCTCTTGCAGATCCGATTGCCTGTACCTAGCCTTTGACTGCAAAATGTGCATGTGCATCTTTTGAGTGATGTCACCCGCACATTGATGTCTTTACCGTGGGGCTATAAAATTGCGTGGGTCCGCAGTGGCCAGCGTGCACTGCCATGCCGCACAAGCCAAGCATCATGGCAGAAGACCGCCGAGCGGCACTCCCCTCTATCTTCGGAAGGTAATTATCTCTGTTTTTGCCACAAGGATATGAAGGATATGTGACAGCATACCCTTAGTTCTTAATACGGTGTATTGTCCCATAGAGCATCAATGACAGCATGCAGCATTTTGTAATAGTTGTCTATAAGGCCCTTAATAATTGCAGGTGGTATAGATGCCCATTCGTCTTTGCAAAATACATCCAGGTCATGCAAAGTCTTTGGTGGTCTTGCATGAACCACATGTATGAGATCTTCCCAGAGTGGCTCGATATTAAGGTCAGGAGACTATGATGGCCACTGCAGAACCTTCATGTTTTTCTGCTGTGATCACTGGAGGGTCATCTTGGCCTTTTACTTAGGGTCATTGTCATGCTGGAAAGTCCAAGAGTGTCCCATGCACAGCCTTCGTGCAGAAGAATGCAAATTATCTGCCAGTATTTTCTGATAACATTCTGCATTCATCTTGCAATCAATTTTCACAAGATTACCTGTGACCATAAAGCTCTATTTTGGTCTCGTCACTTATAATTACAGTGTGCCAGAAACTGTGAGGCATGTCAAGGTGTTGTTGGGCATATTGTAACTGGGCTTTTTTTGTGGCATTGGCGCAATAAAGGCTTCTTTCTGGCAACTCAACGTTGCAGCTCATTTTTGTTCAAATATTGTTGTGTTGTGCTCCTTGAAACAACCGCAGGATCTTTTTCCAGAGCAGCCTGTATTTCTCCTGAAGTTACCTGTGGATTTTTCTTTGTATCCTGAACAATTCTTCTGGCAGTTGTGGTTACCTGACCTTGACTTGTTATCAAGAGACCCCTGAATATCACACTTCTTTATATGATTGAACAGTACTAATAGGCATTTTCAAGGTTTTGATTATATTTGTCAGAATATTTATATCAACAGTCATTTTGTGCTAAGAAAGAAATTAAAAGTGTATATTGCCAGAGTCACTCAGAACAGAGCGGACTCCATTTTGCTATCTTCAGGATAACAAAAACACAATTTCTTCTTACTTTCTGTAACTAGCCACTTGCTTGAACTAAGGGAATGCATTATGTAAACACAGACACTAGTGACAGAGAAGACTAAGTAATTAATTTTGCTTTCTAAATTTTACAAGGTTCCATTGTAAGTAAGGGGTGAAATTGAGTTTAGAACTGTCAATTTTAGAAATTACGATCAAAGTAGTTGCCACAAAGACTGAGACAAACGCTTTGAACAGACAGCAAATCTAAGTTATGGTGGTCATTTTAGATAAGCCAAATGACGTCAAAATTGTCATCAGGAAAAGTTAACTCTTTCCTGGATAAGAAGGATTAGTTAGACGAGACTGCCCTCCATGGATCAAATACCTAAATTGCGAAATTCACTCACACACCTCCATACAACCAATCAAGTTCCTGGGACTACCTACTCATCTGATGTGAATATCTACATAACTGGTAATTATGCTGGTTTTATTTAATTTAAATTAATTAAAATTTACTAATAGCATGATATGACTGGATAAATCACGGTCAGATTTCATATTTAGAAATCTTAGTTAACTAAGGAATATATAGTTATAAACATTCCATTCTGCAGATGGAATTAAGAATAATTATATATTAATGTGATAGGATCACGTGTTAGCATACCACTGTTTTTATCCAGGTCTATTGATTTGCTCTAATATAAGATAAGATTTCTTTTTAGGCAAAATAAAATTCGGCTTATAGAATCTGGTAGATTATTCTTATTGGATGGTTCCAGGAAATGATTAATGAGCTGGTCTGAATGTTATTTTTATTGAAAATTACATAAGAATAGGATACTATATGCCTAGGAGGATCTAGCCAGCGTTGAAAGGGTTACTCAGTTGATTTAACTGTTGATTTAACTGTTAGCCAAGGTTTTATGGCTTTTTGCTGTGAAAAGCTTTATTTTTGTCTATAAAGTACCCTCATAAATCTTAATTGACAGGAGATGCTGTTAGCCATTGGAATGTGTATAGCCATTCCATTGTATTGTATACTTATGTTATACTAAATACTCACTAATTATTATCATGCATGCTGCCTGATATTATTGTTATGTTATATGTCACAATAAATAAATCTATTTTTATAACAAATTGATTTAATTGTATGGAATACTTTTCACTTATTTTATAAATGATCTAAGATCTAAGAGAATTGAAATAGTGGGCGATTCTCGACTGTTTAATATTATCATCCCATAAATATCCCCACATATTGGAGGCACACTGCTGAGATCATTAAATTGAAATTATATCCCATACAATAATTCTGAGGCGTTGCTGTTGAGTAATTCATGCAATATTAATCTTGATATAGAAAAGAGTTTTGGATTGAGATTAAATCAGTATATAGAAAAATGGCTGAATCCAGCAATCCATCTGTATCAGACAATGCTGAAATCATTGAAAAACTAAGAATAAATACTCTAGTCAATATTCATAAACATATGAAGAATGATTTATGCTATGAAGATTGGTTGAAGAGCATAGAATGGGAAGCTAAACTAACCATTCTAAATAATGCACCCATAATAACATATCTTAAAGAAATTGTTGGACAAACTAACATAGAAAAAAAAAATGGGGTTCATCATACACTCTTGGCCTTTCTTTATGACAGGACTTCTGAAGGCGTTAGATGAAAACAAGGTACTGAATGACAGATTGGACACGTACAGTGGCGATCTGGGCATTCAAAATGGGAAATACCAAGATTTACTTGCTGAGCATGAAACCAGTCTGCCTGATCATGAAAAAGAACTGAAAGCTCTGACAGACAAATATGCACAGGGAATAAGTCAGCTTAAAAAGCAATTGGATGAGTATGAAAAGGAGAGTCAGAAATCAGATACTGAGGTTAGTAGTCATCATTGTGTGCCAAAAAGTTGCACAAAAATGCAAGGAAGGACTATCTGTAAATCCCCTCCTTATTATGATTTTCCCACACCAAACTAGGTTTTCATAAAACAGTCTGTAAGTAAAGGTGTGAGTAATTCTAAAAAATCACCTGTGGAACAAGATTCCCCATCTCATGACATTACCAAGCCATCTTGGCAATCTTGGGCAGAACAGTTTGAAAAGACTGTCTTGGCCAAACTTGAGAGGGAGAATCAGATTCAAGGTGATAGGAATGAAAACAGACATGGTTCTGTACACTGGCAGAACTCTGATGCAGATCAGAATTGTGACAGTGAACGAGGAGCTCAGAGTGATGGGAGTGAAAGTGATTGCACTGTCCACTCTGAAGGCCATGTGAATGATATGCCATCTGCACTGTTGTACGGATCTAATTCCTCTTCAGCAGCCGGATCGCATAGACGTTTACCAAAAAGAAGGGTGGATAGAAACAGGATTAATAAATCAAATATGCCTGTTTATGAAATGCCAAAGGTTATTAAATTCCTTAAAGAGACAGTCCCACAATTTTCTAGAGGTTCAGGAAACATATCTGAACATCTGGAAAATTATGAAAGAGCCATGAATTCATTGGGCATGTATGATGAAATCCAAAAGAAATGGTTCATTACATGGACCTTTGATTCAATGTGCCGTGTTTATCTAGAAAGTCTTCAAGCTATACAGCTAATGTCCTGGTCCAAGATGAAATATGAAATAATCATGGAATATGGTAAGTATAAAACCATTGCCTCTGCTAAGAAAGCGCTTTATAACTTAAAGTGCCGTCCAGATCAAAGCCCCAGAGAATTTTTAATAATTCTTAAAAATGCATATTCCGTGGCCCAAAGGAAACCCAGGTATGAAAGTACAGACTTCAAAGATCTGTATTTTCATGCCATGCCGGTAAACATACAAATGAATCTCGCAAGAGATTATGATTGTAAGTTACCATTAGAATGGCTAGTCAGTCAGTGCATGAAATTGTATACTATACACCATGCACATGATGAAAATCAGCCAAAGGTTAAGAAACCTGGTGATAAAATGGTGTCAGAGACTAAAATTCAGTTAGGTTTAGAAACCCAACAGAAAAAGAGGACCTATTCTGAGGTTTTGAAATCTCCAAAACCTCAGAAACAGGAAAATGCCGGAAGCAATTCTGTAAATTCCTCTGATAATAACTCTGAAAAATCCAATGCCAATGGGAATAAACGCCCCTGGGTTAATAAGAACCAAGGCAATTCCCAATGGAGAAGGAATCCTCAGGGAAATAGGAGATATGGAAACAGAAATAACCAATCTGCTTCCAGTAACTCCCAACAGTCTCAGCCATCCCAGCCAAATTCTAATGGGCAAAGACAAAACGGCAATGGGGGAAATAATTTGCGTCGTCAGGTTGGTCAATTGACAGACCAGATGGGCAAATTAATGGAGGAAATGACAAAGATTAACCAAGTCTTTGCCAGAAATCTTTTTTTAGGGATAGCTCCAATTGCAGAGCCACCTGTGCAACTGCAGCAGCAACAACAGGTGCCGCAGCAATAATAGCTACTGTGACTAAACAGGCTAGGTTGTCAGTAGATGTAATACCTAACCCTGTTTCCTTTCCAGATACTCACAGTCAAACAAACAATAGTTGTGTTAGAAAACCTATTGCCTACACAGTCACTTCACTTCCGGGTGAAGGAGGCGCAACATGTTCCTCTGCTTTTTCATTTCAGCCAAAGGCTAAAATAGACCCAGCAGCCACTAGTTTCCAGGATCCAGACCTGAAAGGGTTAACTGATGAGATGCCGACCACTAGTTCCCGCTTGACAGTTCAAGATGGGCCTGTGGGTAAGACCGAGCATTCCTCAGTACAGGTAGAAACTACTGCTGTGACCGGTAACGTATAGAAAACAAGTGATATGTAGACACATTCGAACTTCTTATGTGGATTAGAAGAACATGAAGGAAGGTACTACATGTCTGTAGAAATACAGGATTCACTACCCCAGCCTTTCAAAGGATTAATAGATACTGGTTCACAAGCCACTATCTTATCCAATACCTTTCCTCCAGCAGGTAATGGACTTGGCAATGGATAAGCCGAAGCTAAGAGATTTCCCCAATGCTCTGTTGTGTAGGAGGAAATGCCCTTCATGTTATTGGCAATACTTGGTTAAAGTTTAAAATAGGTAACAAAACCTTTAGACACCATGTGATAGTGGTAGATCTCCCCTATGACCGACTGATTCTGGGTATAGACATACTCAGAAGATTTAACACAATTATTGACTGTGTAAATGGAATTGTATGGTCACAAGCTAAGGTTCCTATATCCTATGAGAAATCAAATGTTCAATCTGATCATAATTGCCATGCGATAGAAGAAAGACCTGACTCAATTGAGGTACATTTTAGGAATAGTCAGTCACCTGACGTGACTATCCTGCAGGTGAATGATGCAATCGCACCTGTAGATGAGCATTCCGTAAGAGTTGCTCCAGAGAGGATCCAGAATGTCTCTCTGGAAGGTGATGTTTTAACCATTTCTCTCCACAGGGACTATGTTGAATCTGTAGATCTGGCAGGTCATGCTCAATTCCTTGCCAGAATTGAAAGGGTTAATAACAACTTATTCTTTCCTATGCAAATAAATGACTTAGGAAGGAGTAGGAATGCAAAGCTGGACTTAAAGAGTGAGAACAGCTATATTAGCAGAAGTCTTAAGGCAGATCGCTAATCCTAAAATGATCAGGTACGCTTCCCCACATGACAGGTGGATCCAGAATTTGGATGGCGAATCAGTCACAATGTGATAGTAAACATTTTGCTATCTATTTCCATCGGAAATAAGACCGTTAAACATTTATTCCTAGTGATAAACGAACCTCGCTATCAGATTTACATCGGCAATGATGTCATACATCGCTTTGCCATACACCTTGATCTGATTAATTCCAACTTGTGGACAAGGTTAAAAGGTAATCCTTGTGGATACCTACACGAGGAAAACACCCTGAAATCAGGACAAATACTCCCATATGCGGTAAGTATCCAAGTTCCTGATGACATAACCATTCCACAGGGGACAAGTAACTTTCTTTTACCCCTACAGGTCAAGAAGGGTCAGATTGGTAAACTATGATGCCCTAATCTGTTTATCCAACAGGATACAACAATTAGGGATGGAGGTAACACATACACCAATGGTAAGTATTGGTAAGAGTCCCACCTATATAATGGTCAACAATGTTACACCCAATAGTGTTACTTTACCAAAAGGAACATTATTAGGTCTAGCATTGGATGCTGAGTACTATACATTTGGTTTCCAAAACCAAATTATAGGCCTCATCCCTGAAGAATACTTAACTGAGGACGAAATTGTCGATCAAATATTCCATTCCTCCCCAGAAGGATTATTCACTATCCTATCTATCCCTTCAACGTCGAAGAAGGCTCGTGTAAAATCGAAGAAGCATCAATCACCTTCGATCATCCGCTCAATGAGCAGGAATCACAAGAGTATCTCGACCAAAGAGAAAAGGTAAGTCAACACCGAACTGACCTAACTTCTAGGCTTGAAGAAGCTTATGAGATAGGCCAGCCTGAAATCTTTCCAGGATTTCAGGAAAGGCTAGAAGAGCAAATATCTTTAGCTGACGGTTGCTCCAACGATGCTGAGCGGCAACAGCTAAAGGATATCCTAATGGAATTCCAAGATATTTTTGCCAAAGATTTCTACGACTGTGGGTTAACTAACCTCCATGTAGCCAGAATACAAACTGATCCAAATTTACCACCTGTATTTATCAAACAATATAGACTCCCATTAGCGTCATATGATGGTCTACAAGACATCTTTGCAGCAGCGGGCCAAGTAGGCAGCACAATCCAGGAGGCAGAGGGCCCTAGGGGGTAGAAGGGACATGTCCCCAGGTGGAGTCCGGCAAAGACTCGGATGCTGACTCCCATCACTCACCTGTGGTGCAATGTGCCTCTACCCTTGCTACACCAGGGGGCGCATCCCCGCCGGTACTGTGGCGGGTACCAGTGATCCCATGGAGGGGCCCTTCCCCTTCTCCCTTCCTCTCGATGTGATTGCGTCCTGTGGTGTGGCTGGACCCTCTGCCTCCTGTCCTCAGGCGGCTGCTGGGCAGGATGGCACCGCTGGGTTCGGTTTGGAGCAGGGTGGTGGTGTGGTAAACGGCTGCTGCCTCAGTCCCCAGCGCTGTGCGGCCTGTTGGGGGGGAAAGACGGTGCCGGACCCTCCATGAAAGCTGTCCCTGCAATGGGGTGGCCCGATGGGGGGAATAGCGGCGCCGTTGGACCTTCCATGAAGGTTGCTGCAGTAGCTGGGGCTGTGCAGCACCAGAGTGTGCACATTGATGGCCCTCCTCCTCCCTCTGCTCCCCCAGTGGGTTTTCAGCAACTTTCCCCTGTTTGTCAGTCTCCTCCCCTGTTTGTTTCCCAGCCTGCTTCCCAGCATCTGTCACAGTGTGTCTCCCCGTCTGTTCCCCCATATGTGCCCCTCTGTGTAATGGCTAATAATGTTCATGGTGCTGGTATTGTGGGTGCCGCTGGCACTAGGGGTGCCGCTGGTGCCATTGGTGCCGGTGGTGCCGCAGGTGCTGGTTCCGCGGGTGCCCTGGGTGACTCCCATAATGCCCAGCCAGCCATCCTACCTGAGAGGACCACCAGTGGAGGTAGGAAATGTGTTAAGACCTTGCAGTTTGGCCCCACTGGTGGTTTGGGGATGGCTGGGGGTGATGGGAGTGAGTGCAGTAACACTAGTGTTGCTGCTTTAGTGGGACCCACTGACCTAATCAAACAGGTCCACAGCCAAGTTTATGATAATACTATGACTCCTCCCCCTGATACTGTTGCTCCCCCTCTCAGTACTGGTGCCCCCCCAGTAATGTTGCCCCCTCCCTTGGTACGGTTGCCCCCTCCCCTGGTTACGTGGGTGCACAGGTGGCGGGCACGAGCACAGGCACTGGCACCCTAGCAAAGGGTGCCAAGGTTGTAAATAGTTTAGGTGCACAAGTAGGTACACAGGTACCCCTTAGGCACTCCCAGGTTGCCACCCCAGGTCCCGGTGTGACCGGGACCTCTACTGGTCCTGCGGGGGGAGTCCGCCCCACCCCTTCCCAGGTGGCGGGTCCCAGCGTGCCCAGTGCTTGGGCATCTGGGCCACCTCGCCTCTCAGCGGGCGGACCTGCTGCGTGTCCTCAGGTTTCCTTTGGGAACAGGAGGAACGTAGTACGACTCGTCTTTGGGGGTGAGACCCAGGTGCCTGACAGAAGGTGGCTGGTGGCCCGTCTAAAGGATATGGGGTTTGCGCCCGTGGACCTGTACGCGCTCATCCATGCCTCGGGCACCAGGGAGTTCGACGTCTCCTTTATGACGTTGCAGCTCCTGGATCGCTTCTGGGCTGGATGGGAGGTGGCCAGGTCTGCACAGGGCTCAAAGTGGGCAGGATTCTCCGCTGTGGCCATTTCTCGCCAGGGTCTTAAGAAGGTTACCTTCCTGGTGAGGAATGAGTCCATCCCCATAGCGGATATACTCGTATGGACCAAGAGGTTTGGGGATGTTAAATCCCCCCCGTTAAGATCTTAGATGAGGATGGGATATGGACAGGTGGGTGGACTGTTTCTGTGTTGCAGCGGGAGATTCGAGGTGTCACACAGCATATGCCAAATAGCTTTTTCATCGGGGCTGACCGGGTATCCTGTTTTTACCCTGGTCAGCCCAGGGTGTGCCATAAGTGGGGATCGTACAGGCATTTCAGTAATGCCTGTACGGTCCTAAAATGCACTATGTGCGGCGCTGTGGGGCACCTCCGGGACAACTGCGGGGAGATCCAGTGCCATCTGTGCTCAGAGATGGGGCACACGTACCGCACCTGCCCCGAAGCCCAGCATAATAGAGTCCATCTGGAGTCAGGAACCGGTGGAGATGGAGGAGATGGACTCTGCTGGGTTAGGGGTTCAGGTAGCGAAGCCATCTACGGTGCCCATTTCTGGCACAGGGGTCTCCCTGCCCCAGCAACAGCCCATCCTCCCCTCGGTCTCAGTACCATCTCGAGACCCTGGGGTGGCAACTAGTTCACGTCCCCCCACGAAAAGTGTAAATAGAGTTGGCACGTCCCCCACAGCCATTATGGCTTCCCCTAGGCCCCCTCCCCTCCTAAACCCTCCACGGTGAAGGTTACCCCCACTGGAAAGTCCTCAGATACACAGCCCTTAGATGCACAGTTCCTAGAGTGGAGCACGGTGAGGAAGAAAAGCATCCCCCTCCCTCCAAGACCTCGGCGCTGCCCGCACCCTGGACGACCGCCGAACCCCCTGTGGCGAAACCCCCGAAAGGGGGGGACGCCACTTCTACGGGCGGTAAGGCAAAGGGGTCTTCCTCCTCTTCGTGCTTGCAGGAGGCCCCATTGCCCGTATCTAACAGGTACGAGGCACTGTCTGCCAGCTGGGCTGACTGTGAGCTCGAGGAGGAGATGGCGAACCTCCCCAGGGTGGGGGCAGAGGTTGAGGTCGGACAGGTGGTACCTCTGAGAGACTACGGGCCACTATATCCCGGAGTCTCCATGAAGAGGTACTGCTCCGACATGATGGAGGAGGGGGATAACAGAAAGAAGGGAAAGTCTCCTTGTGCTTAATACCCTTATGGCGACATTTCCTGTACTCTCTGTGGCTACGGTGAATGTTAACAGCATTATGTCCAGCAGGGCCCGCTTTCTGGTTTACGACCACCTCAGCCCGGCTCCGTACAATGTCATCTTAGTACAGGAGACCCAGCTGGAAACCCTCGCGGCCCTGCACGCTGCAAAGCGGGACTGGAGATGGGGGGCCCTCCTACTTCTCTCTAGCCACAGAGAGATATGGGGGAATCGCCATCCTATTTAAGGAAGTTGATGTTTACATCAACAGGGTTATTGAGTTGCAGAAAGGACGTTGTGTGGTTTTAGATGTGTCACTGGGCAGGCAACCTCTCAGGATGATTAACATCTATGGCCCCCAAACCAAGTGGGAGAGGAAGCACCTGTTTAGTGAGATAGAGCCTTACCTTTATACATCCCAGCAACTCCTGTTTGGCGGTGATTTCAACACCATTACTAGGCCTCAAGACAGGAGAGGCGCCATTCAGAGGCTGGGGTATGACTCCATTTTTTTGAATAAGATGGTTAGTCAGTCTGGATTAGTCGATGTATACCTTCACCACACTCCCAATCCCACGGGTGGGTACACGTATCACCGAGGTAGCTGTCAGAGTAGGATAGATAGGTTTTTCTTTAAGGAGAATTTCCCAGTGGCGGCACCCGTGCTTACGCCGGTGGAGTTCTCCGACCATCACATTTTATCTTGCGACTTGAACGTCCATAGTACCACACCTAAAGGTAGAGGGATCTGGCGGCTAAATTCAGACCTCCTGGTGGAACAGAGGGTTCAGCAAGCCTTCATGGAATTCTTTCACGATCAGATGACATTGGCCGATTTAGGCCAAACGAAGTCTGAGTGTGGGAGATGGTGAAGGCCAGAACTCGAGGGCTGTTTCGCAGTTTTGCCCGAAACATGCAGTCCTCTAGGTACAAGATGTATCTGAGCTTGCTTGGGAGGTTGGATGTCTTGATCTCGCAGGGAGGTGACCCTGAGGACATTGCAGCGGTCAAAGCCCTGATGAGGAGTTATCAGTATGATAGGTACGCCTCCCTTGTAAAGGAGAGGGATCATGGGTCTTGCCACTCGCCCGATCCTTATCTGAGTTGCAAGCGGAAGGAAGGTACCAAAACTATCTCTGGTCTGCGGGGCACCAACGGGATCCTCGAGGAGTCTCCTCACGGGATTCTGAAGGTGGTCCGCGACTACTATATTGAGCTCCTCGGTAAGGGCAGCCCCCGATGTGCCGAGGGGGGAAAATCACGTGGGAGAGAGGTTGATAACGTCTTAAACGAGCTCACCCTCCCTGAGCATAGCGACCTCTCTTTTGACGAGTTGATTAGCGAGATCACCATATTAGAGGTCACAGAGAGTATCCATCAGCAGAACAAGTGTAAGTCGCCAGGTCCTGATGGGCTGACGGCTGAGTTTTACCAACAGTTCTGCGATCTCTTGGCCCCTCATTTAACCGAGGTGTTTAATGAGAGCTTAGCTCAAGGATTATTGCCACCCTCGATGAGGACTTCTGCTCTGATCTTGCTGACCAAGCCGAACGTGCTCGACACAGCGGATGTGGGGAACTGGCGCCCCATATCCCTGTTAAATGTCGACAGGAAGGTCCTGGCAAAAATTTTGATGAAACGGGTACAGGGCCTAGCGAGGCGTATCCTATCCACCTCCCAGTACTGTACAATCGGGGGACGAACTGTCTTCGATGCCGTTTTCGAGGTCAGGGAAGCTCTCGAGAAGTGCAGGGCCGGAGGAAGGGGGATACACCTTCTGGCACTTGATCAGTCCAAAGCTTTTGATCGGGTCGATCACCGTTATCTGTGGTCAGTCTTGCGGAAGTATGGCTTGCCGGGTAAATTCATCAATTGGGTCATCACCTTGTACAGAGGGGCCGAGAGCTTTGCTCTTGTGAACGGGTGGAGGGGCAGGACGTTTAGGATCCGATCCGGGGTCCGGCAAGGCTGTCCCCTCAGCCCGCTCCTGTATGTGTTTGCAGTCGATCCCTTCATCCGAAGGGTCGAGGCGAGCACGTTGCAGGGAGTGGCCAGGGCTCCGGAGAGGCCTTTACGGGTAGTTGCCTACGCAGATGACATCTCCATTGTGGTCTCCGATACACAGGAGGCCACGGAGGTGGATGATTTAATCTTAGCGTATTCTGCCGCTTCGACCTCTCGTATCAACAGGGACAAGAGCGGAGTTTTCTGGTGCGGGAAGGAGGGGGACCAGTTCCCTCTTCCAGACGGTTTCCCGCGGGCCCAGTCTGAAATTAAAATCTTGGGGGTGATTTTCGGACCAGGGGATCTGGCTCTCAGGAACTGGTCCGAACGGCTTGCCATAGCTTCCAGCAAGGTGGAGGAGAGCCACAGGTGGAAACTGACGTACAGAGAACAGGTGAAACTGATCAAAACCTATGTTCTGACCGTATTCGGCTACGTCAGTAACATCTTCCTTTTGCCCAGGTCCCTTCACGCTCGGATGTTTGCGCTGTTCTTCCGCATGTTGTGGGGGAACAGACTGCACCTCATCAAGAGAGGGGTCACTTACCTGGCCAGAAAGGACGGGGGTCTGGCCATGGTCAACCCCATCGTCTTCTTAAAAGGGCAAGTCTGGTGCCAGCAGCCGCGGTAATTCCAGCTCCAACCTCTGGGGGCTGGATAGTGGAAGGCTGCTGGAGGTTGCACTGCAACAGCTCCTGCTGTGGAGGTTTTTGTGGGAGGTTGTCAGTTTTTTTTCCCCTGGTTCCCTGCACTGTTTTTGGCTTGAAAACTCACTGGACTTGGGGGCTCTGCCTGGGCCTAAGGAAGCATGGCCCTCGGGCCTTCCTCCCCAGCCTGGGGATGGAAGGTCAAGCTGGACAAATTACAGGCAAGTCTGGCCTTTGGGGATGGCAAGGTGGATACCAGGAGCCTGTCCTGGACTGAACACCAGGCCCTCTCCCGGCAAGTAAGACAGCAAGTTGCACAGTTGGAAGCTTGCTGCCTGGAAGAAGGGAGTGGGGGTCCCCCAGGGAGCCACGGCCCATACCAGGGCCGATATCCAGCTGCTCTCTGGGTTGCTGGCTGAGTGTAAGGAACTTGCCAGCAACGGCCTCCACTTCCTGGAGCGGCCCCCCCCGTCACTGGAAACGGAAGAGGGTCCCGGGGATGAGGTAGTCCCTGAGACCCCTCCTGAGGTGGCTAGTACCAGCGAGGCCCCTCAGGCCTCCCTCACCTATGCTGCGGCTGCAAAGGGTGAGGGGGTTGAGGCTAGGGCACTCAGAGGGCTGCCTTCTGACAGGCTCTGGGGTCTGCTTGTGTCCCTGAAGGCCCAGCACGCCGAGGCGGATTCGGGCCTTGCTGGGGTCCAGGCAGAGCTCAGAGAGCAGAGGGAGAAGTCTAGCAGGACCTCTAACCACAAGAGGGGTCCTGTGAGGGCTATCATAGCACAGAAAAAGCTAGAGGAGCAGCGGCTGTCTTAAATCTTGCTCCAGACCGAATCCAAGATGGCAGACATCCAGTCCATCCTGCAACAGCGAGCCAAGGAGGCAACGCAATCCAGGAGGCAGAGGGCCCTTGGGGGTAGGAGGGACATGTCCCCAGGTGAGGAGTCCAGCAAGGACTCAGATTCCAACTCCCATCACTCACCTGGGGTGCCATGTACCTCTGCCCTTGCTACGCCAGGGGGCGCAACTGAGACAGAGAGGAAGGCCAGAGAGAAGGACAGTGAAGCGGAGTGGGAGGAAGAGAAAGGAGAAGAATGGAAGCTGAGAGTGCAGGACAGGGGTCAAGGGCTGATTAAGGAGTCTCTCCTCAAGTTTGGAAACGAACTTGGGGAGGGATCCGTTAAAGAAAGAAAGAAAAAGAAAAAGAAGAACATCGCCCGGCGTCAGCCTGAGACCCCTGTCAGGGGGTCTGGAGATTCCACGAAGGAGGGTGAGTGCTCCCCTGTAGAATATACATACAATGAGGAGGCCTTCCCGGCCTTGCAGACACCTGGGGCCAGGGATGCAGACACCTGGGGCCAGGGATGCAGACACCTGGGGCCAGGGATGCAGACACCTGGGGCCAGGGATGCAGACACCTGGGGCCAGGGATGCAGACACCTGGGGCCAGGGATGCAGACACCTGGGGCCAGGGATGCAGACACCTGGGGCCAGGGATGCAGACCCCACAGGTGGCAACACCTGTGTGCCCCAGGAGTCTGCCCGCCCTGCCTCTGTGGAAGTACCTGGACCCCCCACCGCCCTCCATGGTGACAGGGAGACCATCCCCGCCGGTACTATGGCGAGTACCGGTGATCCCATGGAGGGGCCCTTCCCTTCCTCCCTTCCCATTCCCTCCCTTCCCTCTGACCTTCCTCTTCATGTGGTTGCGCCCTCTGGGGTAGCTGGATCCTCTGCCTCCTGTCCTCAGGCGACTGCTGGGCAGGATGGCACTGGAGGGATCGGTCTGGAGCAAGGTGTGGCAGGCTGCTCCATGAAAGGTGCTGCCTCAGTCCCCAGCGCTGTGCGGCCTGTTGGGGGGAAAGACGGTGCCGCTGGACCCTCCATGAAAGTTGCCAGTGCAATGGGGTGGCCCGATGGGGGGAATAGCGGCGTCGTTGGACCTTCCATGAAGGTTGCTGCAGTAGCTGGGGCTGTGCAGCACCAGAGTGTGCACATTGATGGCCCTCCTCCTCCCTCTGCTCCCCCAGTGGGTTTTCAGCAACTTTCCCCTGTTTGTCAGTCTCCTCCCCTGTTTGTTTCCCAGCCTGCTTCCCAGCATCTGTCACAGTGTGTCTCCCTGTCTGTTCCCCCATGTGTGCCCCTTCATGTAAATGGTGCTGGTATTGTGGGTAGTGCTGGTATTGTGGGTAGTGCTGGTATTGTGGGTAGTGCTGGTATTGTGGGTAGTGCTGGTATTGGGGGTACCGCTGGTGTCGGTGGTGCCGGTTCCGCGGGTGCCGCGAGTGTGGGTGACTCCCATCATGCCCAGCCAGCCATCCTACCTGAGAGGACCACCAGTGGAGGTAGGAAATGTGTTAAGACCTTGCAGTTTGGCCCCACTGGTGGTTTGGGGATGGCTGGGGATGGCTGGGGATGATGGGAGTGACTGCAGCAGCACTAGTATTGCTGCTTTAGTGGGACCCACTGACCTAATTAAACAGGTCCACAGCCAAGCTTGTGATAACACTTTGACTCCTCCCGCTGATATTGTTGCTCCCCCTCTCAGTACTGGTGCCCCCCACAGTAATGTTGCCCCCGCCCGGTTCTATTGCCCCCCCGGTTCTGTTGCCCCCCCCTGGGCACGGTTGCCCCCTCCCCTGGGCACGTGGATGCACAGGTGGCTGGCACGAGCACAGGCACCCTAGCAAAGTGTGCCAAGGTTGTAAATAGTATAGATGCACAATTAGGTACACAGGTACCCCTTAGGCACTCCCAGGTTGCCACCCCGGGTCCCGGTGTAACCGGGTCTCTACTGGTTCTGCAGGGGGAGTCCGCCCCACCCCTTCCCATGTGGCGGGTACCGGCGTGCCCAATGTTTGGGCATCTAGGCCACCTCGTCTCTCTGCGGGCGCCCTGCGCCCCCATCGCCGGCCCTTTAAATTCTGCAGCTGCCTGAGCGCTCAGGCGGCTGCCACAGTGCCTCACCTCCCCTGCCCTGCTGTAGCGTGGCCGAGCTCCTTTCCGGTCCGCGACCCGGCGGGACTGAAAGGAAGTGCACTTCCTGTCAGTCCCGCCGGGTCGCGGGACCGGAAAGGAGCTCGGCCACGCTACAGCAGGGCAGGGGAGGTGAGGTGAGGTGAGGAGAAGCTGATGGGAGGGAGGGGGGGAGATGATTGATGGGGAGGGAGGGATTGATGAGGGGGGAGATTATTGATGGGGAGGGGGGGGAGATGATTGATGGGGAGATGATTGAGGGGGAGGGAGGGGGGAGATGATTGATGGGGAGATGATTGGGGGAGATGATTGATGGGAGGGAGGGGGGAGATGATTGATGGTGAGGGAGGGGGGAGATTGATGGGGAGATTGGGGTAATGATTGATGGGGAGGGAGGGGATGACGGAGGGAGAGATGATTGATGGGAGGGGGGAGGGGAGATTGATGGGAGGGGAGAGGGGGGATGATGGATGGGGAGATGATTGAGGGGAGGGAAGATGGGGGGAAATGATTGAGGGAGGGAAGGAGGGGGAAATGATTTGATAAGAGAGAGGGAGGGGGAGATGATTGATGGAGGGAAGGAGGGGGGGAGATGATTGATGGAGGGAAGGAGGGGAGATGATTGATGGAGGGAAGGAGGGGGGAGATGGAGGGGAAGTGGGGGAGATGATTGATGGAGGGGGGAGATGATTGATGGGAGGGGGGAGAATGATTGATGGGAGGGGGGGGAGAAGATTGGGGGGAGAAGATTGGGGAGAAGATTGGGGAGAAGATTGGGGGAGAAGATTGGGGAGAAGATTGGGGGGGAGAAGAAGAGAAGATTATGGGGGGAGAAGCAGCGATTACAGGGAGGGAAGGGGTGAGAAGTTTACAAGGGGGGAGGGGAGAAGATTACAGGGAGGGGGGAGAAGAAGAGAAGATTACAGGGGGGAGAAGAAGGAGAACACAGGGAGGGGGGGGGAATAAGAGGAGAACACAAGGGGTGGGAGATGAGAACGTAGGGGAGGGAGAGACCACTAAAGGAGGGAGGGGGCGGTGGAGAGACCACTAGGGGAGGGGTGTGAGGAGAGACCGCTGTATGCATCCCTTATGCATACAAACACAGATTCACACAATGCATCCCTTACACACAACAAGAAACACACAATACATCCCTTATACACACACACACACTGCTTCCACTACACACAAACTGCATCACCTACACAAACTGGTATCCCTATACACTACATTACGTAAGCACACACATTAGATCCTCTACAGTAACACATAACACATCCCCTACACACTCCACTCCCTGTGAGCGAACTCATGGGTGGAACATGTAGGTGGACTTATGGGTGGGCTTTATGGGCATACTCACCGTCAGGCCCTGGGGCCCAGACCTTGAGCTATGTAAGAGGCCCCAAAAAATGGAGCTGCTTCCCGTTCTCCCAGAACATTGAATTTTGTGACCACAGTTACAAACAGCCTCCAGAGATCCTGTTCTACACCAGACCAGTGGAGCCAGACTGCAGCCAGAGCCCATCACCATCCTCATCTGTTTGTAAGTAGGCAATCTAGTATATTATTAGTGACACTAATCTCTAATTTACCTCACATTAAATGGACACTATAGTCCCCAGAACCACTGCAGCTTAATAAAGTTGTTCTGGTGTCTATAGTTTGTCCCTGCAGGCTTTTTAATGTAAACACACACTGTGTGCAGCACTGGCATTAGTTCTATGGGTGGGGCATTGCGATGTTCCGGGGGGGGGGGGAAGGGGCGGCAAATCCTTTTGCCTAGGGCGGCAAAAATCCTTGCACCGGCCCTGAATGCATAGTATATACAAACCAAGTGATAAGGAGAATGGGGGTTGGATAGACTGTCGTAAATGCTAGTTGAATAGATGCATATCTAAACCCAGACATTTGTGACAGAGGAGATTAAATAATATTTTACGGTCTATATATACACACAAGACTAGGGATCGACCGATATTGATTTTTTAGAGCCGATACCGATATTCTGTGAACTTTCAGGCCAATAGCCGATATAATTTGCCGATATTCTGTACATTTACCATTTTGGAAAATAAAAACTATTTCTAAAGGTAAATGCACAAAATATACATGCAACGTGCAGTGGATGCAGTGTGACAGGGGAGCTGTGTGTGTTTGTGTAGTGTGTGTAGTGGATGCAGTGTGTGTGTTTGTGTAGTGTGTGTGTTGTGGATGCAGTGTGTGGAGGATGCAATGTGTGTTTGTGTAGGGGATGCAGTGTGTATTTGTCTAGTGTGTGTAGTGGATGCAGTGTGTATTAGTGTAGTGTGTATATAATGAAAGCAGAATGTGTGGGTAGTGTGCGTAAAGTGAATGCTGTATATACTAAATTCAAAGTGTGTGTGTATATAATGAATGCAGAGTTTGTGTGTATTTGTGTAGTGTGTGTATAGTGAATGTAGTGTGTTTATATAATGCAGAGTGTGTGTATATAATGCAGTGTGTTTGTGTAGTGTGCATTATATAAACACACTACACAAACACTGCATTATATAAACACTACACAAACACACACACTGCATTATATACACTACACAAACACACACTGCACAAACACTACACAAACACACTGCATTATATAAACACTATACAAACACACACTGCATTATATACACACACACACTATACAAACACACTGAATTATATACACACACACTATACAAACACACTGAATTATATACACACACACACTATACAAACACACTGAATTATATACACACACACACTATACAAACACACTGAATTATATACACACACTACACAAACACACACTGCATTATATAAACACACTACACAAACACACACTGCATTATATAAACACACTACACACAACACACACACTGCATTATACACACACACTATACAACACACACACACTGCATTATATACACACACACTATACAAACACACTGAATTATATACACACACTATACAAACACACACTGCATTATATAAACACACTACACAAACACAGACTGCATTATACACACACACACTATACAAACACACACACTGCATTATATACACACACACACTATACAAACACACTGAATTATATACACACTATACAAACACACTGCATTATATACACAGTGTGTTTGTATAATGTGTGTATATAATGCAGTGTATTTGTGTGCATTGTATACAAACACACACACACACACACACACACTATACAAACACTGTATTATATACACCGTGTGTTTGTGTAGTGTATGTGTATATAATGCAGTGTGTGAGGGGGCATTTTTTATTAAATTATTTTTAAAAAAAAATGTATAATTAATTCTTATTTATTTTTGTTGTCCCCCCTCCCTGCTTGTTACCTGGCCAGGGAGGGGGGATATGACAGTCCCTGGTGGTATTGGCTGAGCTGGGGGGGCGGAGAGCAAGCGCTTACTCACCTCCCAGCAGCTCCTCCAGCTCCCCAATGCAACTCTCGCGGCCAGCGTGTCGCGCGGAGCGTTGCCATGGTGATCCATGGCAACGCTCGGAAGGCCGCGGGTCTCGCGAGAGTTGCATTGGGGAGCTTGAGGAGCTGCTGGGAGGTGAGTAAGCGCTTGATGCCCGCTCCC